TTAGTTCATGAGAACTAAAGAGTTCTCATGAACTAAAGTGGGAAAAGTACTACAGTGTGAATGCGCCTTTTAAGTGGATTCCTGTTGCTATAGTGGCTTGAAAATTGTGGAACAAACTCCAAATGAATATAAGGACTAAAGAAGGGCAGATTGGAAACCCAGCTGTTTCCTTTCCACCTTGGCCAATACATAGAATATATATATATTACTTCTGTACAAATCACCTACAATGGTTTGGATAATTCAAACTTATGAATCTACAGGATTTTTGCTTTTTTTGAGTTGGTATCTTCACGGTGAACTGCACTTATTGTTTTGAGAAAATAGCGTTAGAAACACACAAAGTATGTCTGCTTACCGATGCCGATAACTTTTTCGATCTTGATACAGGAGGCGTCGATCTCCTTGGCGAACTCTCGGACGGCTTGGTTGGGGTCCTCGTAGGTGAAGGGGTCAACGTATATCCTTACTCCTGAGGAAAGGAAGGAAGGAAGGGAAAAAACAAATGAAGAAAGGATTGAAAAATGAAGGTTGATTAATTCCTGTATCTGTTCTTTATTTCCATCATGCTAGAGTGTACACCGCCTTCCTCTTCCTCTTCCTCCTTCCTCCCCTCCATACCTCGCCTCACCCTCTTGACTCCATTGCTGTTCTTGTCACTATGGCTGACTCCAAAGAAGATGGAGCTCATTAACTTAAACATTTGTTTTGTGGGATGGAAATAACAACACTGATGACTTGATAATGAGGTGTTTGGAGAATGTTAGAATGCGAGTACATTAACTTCAAAAACTGTTTTTTCCCACATTTGATGGGCTTCGTTTGCGGGTGAGAGTGGATGCACATGAACACAGATGACAGCACTAATGTTTTTCAATTATAGAGTGTGTAGGTGTGGGGTTTAAAGTGTGAGTTACCTTGATGTAAGTGCTTCTCTTCGTCAGAGTCCTGCTTGGCCTTGCTGTATTTATTCCTTCTGGGGGCAAAAACAGCGGGACGGTCAACGTACAACTTCAAATGTCAAGTACAAAAAGCAACTCATTTAAAAACACAGAATAACCCTCTCATTAGAGTCTGGAGCAGGGGTGTCAAACTCAATTTCATCACGGCCCACGTAGGAATTATGGTTGCACTCAAAGGGCCGGTTGTAACTTTAAGACTATATCAAAATACATATATAATTATTTAATATATATAAAATAATGTATTATTATATTACATTATTGCCTCTGCATTGGATTCTAATCTGATAGAGCAGGGGTGTCAAACTCAAGGCCCGGGGGCCAAATCCGGCCCGCCACTTCATTTGATGTGGCCCACAAGAGCTTGCAAATAATATAATACGTTTATTCTAAGGTCACGTGCCGCTTTACAGGAGCACGTTGCCCATAAACTACATGTCCCACAATGCATCTCATTTTGTGAGATGCGCACTGCAATTACTTACTCGACTTCTGCTGTAGTTAATTATTAAGTTATTACCCTATCCGATAATAATCCAATGCAGAGGAAATATTGTAAAATAATACATTATTTTATATATATATTATTTATATTTATCTATTTATATAGTCTTAAAGTTACCACCGGCCCTTTGAGTGCAACCATAATTCTAATGTGGCCCGCGATGAAATTGAGTTTGACACCCCTGTGATAGGGTAATAACTTCATAATTAACTATGTCTGAAAGCAGAAGTCTAGGGAAAGTAATTGCAAGTCTCTTCAGTGAGAATGTCACAAAATAATTGAAAAAGAAAAGCCAAATTCTGGGAAAAAAAGTCCAAAAAATAAAAAAGGTGACATTTTGAAATAAAAAAGTGAGATGCATTGTGGGACATGTAGTTTATGGGCAACGTGCTTCTGTAAATCGCCATGTAACCGTATAATAAACATATTATATTCTTTCAGAGCTCGTGTGGGGCCACAGAAAAGGAAGTCGCGGGCCGGATTTGGCCCCCGGGCCTTGAGTTTGACACCCCTGGTCTAGAGGGCTGGAGATAATCAGAAATGCAAAGAAAGAGTTCAAGTCATGGTATTTCACAACTCTATTGCACGTATTTGTACAGAGTTATTGTAGTTGGACCATTGATTGAATTGAATTATTTGTAAACGTTGGGATATCCAATAACATTTGAAATGGTAAAAGTCGGTTGGTTTTCAGAATCCAAATATCTAGTTAACTTGTTAGATAAAAGGAAGGCAAAGGTTGTTAAGAAATACATGTAAAATAATAAGCGAGAAACAAATATGTCCACTTTTTAAGACAATAAGAAGCAGTATTTAAAAAATGACAAAGGTCAGTGATTATATAAAGTATTGGAGGAGACTGTAACGTTAACAGATTGAAAATAAATAAACTCTGAGTAAGAAAAATTTAGCAATTGAATGTGTATTTCCCAACGTTCTTTTTGTTTTCTTTAACCATCCTTCAGTGGGGCACATTGGTCCCAAAGAAAATAAGTTGCTGTAAGTAATATTGTCTTAAAGGTTTTATAAAGTTTAAGACGGATTATTCGAGTTTAAAATGTTAAAAGTGATGTTAAAACAAAAATGAGCTACCATCAGAACTTCAACTTAAAACGAACCTCCATGGCGTTGGTCTTCAGCCGAATAATAACAATACACAAGTGTCACTTCAGTCATTAAAACTCAAACCAAGACTCCATACCCACTTATCAATCAATTCAAGTATATGAAATGGGGACACAATCACTTATCAGACTTTGATAGGTTGTTAATTAATTATTCAAATGTGCCAGACAGAAACAGCATTTTCACTTTTGTTAGTTTAGGTATATTTACCCTTCCTCACTGACCTCCTCATCCTCTACCAACCACCCCGGTCCCTCAGATCCACCTCAGCCGGTTTGCTTTCCATCCCCAAGGCTAAACTCCGGAGCTCTGTGGCAGCCCCGAAGCTCTGGAACTCCCTCCCCAAATACCTCCATGAGTCTGAGTCCCTCACCCTGTTCCAGTCCCGCCTCAAAACCCACCTCTTCCACTCTGTATCCATAAGCCCCCCCCCCTCTCAACCAACTTCCTCCTGACTGCTTTATTTTTATTTATTTTTGAAAGCGTCTTCGGGTTCAAGAAAAGCGCTATAGAAATAAAATGTATTATTATATCTCGCGGACACTAGGTCTCACTTTGATCAGCGACAGGGTATTTCTACTTTGAGTCAGAAATATCCTGAAGGTTTCTGAAGGGCACGGAGCATTAAAGCGGCGAATCAATCGTATACAGAAGATGCACTTTAGATCCCTCCCAATCCCAGAGGCAGGCTGACACCTGTGCTGATATTGATGTGTGGGGTCAGTGGAGGAAATGACCAGATGTGCGCCACATTGTCCTCGTCTATGGCTCAGTAATGATGGCAAACGACTGCCTGATTACAGACCCTCCCCACAATCACAGGAGGGCCGCAGCAGCACAATGACAGTGGCCGTCACATGCATATAAAAAAGGCTGAGACAACCACCTGCTTGGCCGCGGAGTGAGAGAGGCAATCACGTGGAAACGAGGACACACACACACACACACACACAATCAACAGCCCCCTTCACTCCCCATCATTCTCAATACACATGCTTTCCATACAAAGAGGCACACAACGACTGCTCGTGAAACACAAGCCATTAACAATCCTCTTCCCCGACACACGTGAAAACAATACTCTTTCTTTACATAACGATGTGCAAACACACACACACACACACACACACACACACACACACACGCGCGTATTTTTATAATGTTTCGATACTTATTTTATTTGTGTTTTATTCTATTTTTTTACTTATTTTATACTTCTTGTTGATTGACAGCCATACTGCTGCTGTGACAAAATCATTTCCCAACTTGTGATAAATAAAGTATCTATCCGTCTATCCATACAGGGGGGAGTGTGTTTAACATCCCGAGGTGCTCATCTGCATGTAATCCCATCCGTGTGACGGTGCTTTGTCGCTGGTTAACACCCTGAGATTGGGTCACTGCAAATCCACCTGATGCCTCTCAGCTTTTCCCTCGCTCTGTATTCTATCTCCTGCTTTTCATTCCCCCGCTTATCTCATTGTCCCCCCCCCCCTCCTTCCCCCTCCCCCCCATCTCCTCACGGCGGTCAGAGGGAGAAAAAATAACTGGCGGTCGGGATTGCAGCCAAATCTGAGGGAAGGAGGAAGGAGCTGATTGCATCTCTTCAGCTGTCGGAGCTGTCAATCACGTCTCCGGTGTGGCGAGTCATCACTCATCCTGCGTTTACTCTAGCTGTCTGATTCTGTGTGTGTTTGTTTTTTCTCCAGAGGTGGGATGTAGTGGAGTACAAATACTTTGTTACTTAAGTACATTTTTCTGGTATCAGTACTTTACTCCTCTACTTATTTTTCTAACCACTTTTTACTTTTACTTCTTACATGTTGAACTCAAATACCTGTACTTTCTACTTCTTACATGTTGAACTCAAATACCTGTACTTTCTACTTCTTACATGTTGAACACAAATACTTGTACTTTCTACTTCTTTTCATGTTGAACTCAAATACCTGTTTACTTTCTACTTCTTACATGTTGAACTAAAATACCTGTACTTTCTACTTTCTTACATGTTGAACTCAAATACCTGAAACTTTTCTACTTCTTTCATGTTGAACTCAAATACCCTGTACTTTCTACTTCTTACCTGTTGAACTCAAATACCTGTACTTTTCTACTTCTTCATGTTGAACTCAAATACCTGTACTTTCTGCTTTCTACATGTTGAACTCAAATACCTGTACTTTCTACTTCTTACATGTTGAACTCAAATACCTGTACTTTCTACTTCTTTCATGTTGAACTCAAATACCTGTACTTTTTACTTCTTACATGTTGACTCAAATACCTTTGTACTTTCTACTTCTTACATGTTGAACTCAAATACCTGAACTTTCTACTTCTTACATGTTGAACACAAATACCTGTACTTTCTACTTCTTACATGTTGAACTCAAATACCTGTACTTTCTACTTCTTACATGTTGAACATACCTGTACTTTCTACTTCTTACATGTTGAACACAAATACCTGTACTTTCTACTTCACATGTTGAACACAAATACCTGTACTTTCTACTTCTTACATGTTGAACTCAAATACCTGTACTTTCTACTTCTTACATGTTGAACAACAAATACCTGTACTTTCTACTTCTTACATGTTGAACCCAAATACCTGTACTTTCTACTTCTTACATGTTGAACACAAATACCTGTACTTTCTACTTCTTACATGTTGAACAAATACCTGAACTTTCTACTTCTTACATGTTGAACCAAATACCTGTACTTTCTACTTCTTACATGTTGAACACAAATACCTGTACTTTCTACTTCTTACATGTTGAAACTCAAATACCTGTACTTTCTACTTCTACATGTTGAACCAAATACCTGTACTTTCTACTTCTTACTGTTGAACCCAAATACCTGTACTTTCTACTTCTTACATGTTGAAACCAAATACCTGTACTTTCTACTTCTTACATGTTGAACCAATACCTGTACTTTTACTTCTTACATGTTGAACACAAATACCTGTACTTTCTACTTCTTACATGTTGAACTCAAATACCTGTACTTTCTACTTCTTACATGTTGAACCCAAATAACCTGTACTTTCTACTTCTTACATGTTGAACACAAATACCTGTACTTTCTACTTCTTACATGTTGAACCAAATACCTGGCACTTTCTACTTCTTACATGTTGAACCACAAATACCTGTACTTTCTATTCTTACAGTTGTTGAACTTCAAATACCTTGCTACTTTCTACTTCTTACATGTTGAACTCAAATACCTGTACTTTCTACTTCTTACATGTTGAACCCAAATACCTGTACTTTTCTACTTCTTACATGTTGAACTCAAATACCTGTACTTTCTACTTCTTACATGTTGAACTCAAATACCTGTACTTTCTACTTCTTACATGTTGAACCCACATACCTGTACTTTCTACTTCTTACATGTTGACACAAATACCTGTACTTTCTACTTCTTACATGTTGAACTCAAATACCTGTACTTTCTACTTCTTACTGGTGAACACAAATACCTGTACTTTCTACTTCTTACATGTTGAACCCCAAAACCTGTACTTTCTACTTCTTACATGTTGAACACAAATACCTGTACTTTCTACTTCTTACATGTTGAACACAAATACCTGACTTTCTACTTCTTACATGTTGAACCCAAATACCTGTACTTTCTACTTCTTACATGTTGAACACAATAACCTGTACCTTTCTACTTCTTACATGTTGAACTCAAATACCTTGTACTTTCTACTTCTTACATGTTGAACCCAAATACTGTACTTTCTACTTCTTACATGTTGCAACTCAATACCTGTACTTTCTACTTCTTACATGTTGAACTCAAATACCTGTAACTTTCTACTTCTTACATGTTGACCAAATACCTGTACTTTCTACTTCCTTACATGTTGACATCAAATACCTGTACTGTTCTACTTCTTACATGTTGAACTCCCCCCCAAATACCTGTACTTTCTACTTCTTACATGTTGAACACAAATACCTGTACTTTCTACTTCTTACATGTTGAACTCAAATACCTGTACTTTCTACTTCTCACATGTTGAACACAAATACCTGTACTTTCTACTTCTTACATGTTGAACCCAAATACCTGTACTTTCTACTTCTCACATGTTGAACTCAAATACCTGTACTTTCTACTTCTTACATGTTGAACTCAAATACCTGTACTTTCTACTTCTTACATGTTGAACCCAAATACCTGTACTTTCTACTTCTTACATGTTGAACACAAATACCTGTACTTTCTACTTCTTACATGTTGAACTCAAATACCTGTACTTTCTACTTCTCTCATTTTCCAAACAGCTGGTTCCTTTAGTCTGAATGTGTGTTTGATGCGTGATCATTATTATTTAGAGTCATTGCGTGCCTATTGATTTGAACACGATCCGTGTATCCATCATTTCCTGGTCTTCTCTAAAGAAGAGGGACCAATGGAAACGTTGTCATGTTGCCGTTGTTCAGCATGGAAACATTCATTAGCTAACAATGACATTATTGTTCTATTAATATAAAGGGAGGTCAGGTACTCTTTAAAGCAGCTGCTAGTTATGGGTACTTTTTACTGAAGTACATTTCAAAGCCTTTACTTTGACTTGAGTAAAGAAGTTTAGTCAGTACTTCTACTTTCACCAGAGTATTTTTTAACACGAGTATCTGTACTTCTACTTGAGTGAAGGATGTGTGTACTCTCTGGTTTTCTCCCCATGTCTGCTAAGCAAGATATCCGGTGGGAAACATGTTCAGACAGAAAGCAGAAAGGATGGTGGCACTCACCTTCGGCTGATGACGAAGGCGCTGATGAGGATGAGGAGGAGAACCACGCTGCCCACCACCGACACCAGTAACACCGTGGAGTTGGTCCCGTCCCCGATAATGGGAGCTGGAACTGAGGAAAAATGGAGGGAAGATGGGAGGAAACGAAGGAGAGGAAGGGGAGGAAATATGAAAGGGAGGACAGTTGAAAAAACACGGAAAACAAAGTCAATATCATTGCGTTCGATCGCACATGAAACAGCCTGTATACGGTCTGTGTTTGTCACAGTTATTGACCCCCTGCATACTTCCTCCCTCTGTCTCCTCCTCCTTTACACTAAGACAATGACAGGCCTTTAGGATGCGTGCTTGACCGTTTCATTATCATGCGCCGTGTGCATCACAAAAGGACACCTGCGCTTCCAGTGCAGATATAACCCTCTATGTCAGGGGTCACCAACTACATTTGTCCAAGGGCCAAAATTAATCCAAGAGACACTTTCGATACTTATATAAATATATATAATAAATTATATTTATATATATATAATTGATTAATATGTTCACTTTATTGAAAAGGCTTTTTTATAAGCCTGTATCCGGGGTAATAAAACTGAAAGCAGTCCTGATTGGCAGGGAAAGGAATCAACTGTTGTAACACCTTGTCCTGATTGGTGGGAAACGGTTGCAGGATATAAGAAAATGGTTTGCCAGGCACGCAAACACATTGTGGGAAGCAGAGCGGAGCTTTCCTGGCGTTTCAGGCTGCAAAAGTTGAGCAATGTTCAACTTTTGAAGCTTCTGAAGCTTTCGGTGGAAGCGTCAGCCAATCAAACCGCTGCTTGTGTGTCAGGAGCGGGAGATTCATGTGATTGGTTGTTGGTCGAGCTTCAGACACACCCAGCTCCAAGCTTATTTTGAAGCTGTAGTGTGGACGGGCCGTTAAGCGTAAAGTTGACGTGGAAAACCGCAGTTTCAATGAGGAATGGACGGATAAATACGCATTCGTCATGCCATCGTTAATAAGGATACACCTGTTTGCCTTATCTGCAATGAAACTGTCGCTGTTGCAAAAGAGTACAATCTATAAAAAAAATGTACGCCACAGTCACCCCCGCCGCCAGTTGGTGGTCACTGCTCTATGTCATTGTCAACCAGTATTAGTATATCATTCGGTTGGATGCTACTCAATCGGAAGCTGTTGGTCCCTGCTCATGTGGATAGTTATGTAAATTGTAATCCCTGTAATTTTGCTGTATGATGTCCTTTTGTTGTTCTGTTTATGTTTTGATGTTTCATGTGGAACCTACTTGAGCAGGTCTCCCTTGAAAAAGAGATCAATGATCTCAATGGGATACACCTGGATAAAGAAAGGTTTGAAATGAAAATATATCATATAATGTAATGTCTACTTGAGGGCATGATGGTATGCTAAGAAAAACAGACTTACTTTGGTTGTGCAATATTTTATGTGATGACATATCTGTTTTTGTTGTATCATTTTCTTTGTTGTTTACAAAGAAATATAAAACATTGAGTATTCAAACCCTAAATCAACCCCAACTAAAGCTATAAATGTTTAATATTCCGTTTTTTTTCCATTTCAATAGACCCTACGTAGCTTTAAATGTGTTAAAATGGTCTATTTCACGAGTATATATACTTTAATGTTGAATCAGCTCGTACCAAGATGTTGTGTTTTTTGTGGCTGCTCCACAGATTAAATGGAAATATAGGGTTTTTAACAATTATTCAATGGGCCTCATTTGATATCTAGACACAAAGAAGTAGCTGCTGTTGGTATTTTAGGGTTTGATCAAGTCATCTTGCTTTAGAATTCTTTAAAACATTTATGACGAGAGGCTAAAAAAGACCCCAGGAGGCTTCAAAATAAAAATAACATCATTCTTCTCATATAGGTTGCACCCTCGCTGGCACATCCACTGAGACTCAATGCAGCTTGAAAAATGGAAAACTGCTTAAGTTGCCAATCAGGTGCTGCAGCAAAATATCATTTATCTTTTATAGATGGCAGCTATTTTGATTAATGACTCTGCAATGAACGAGACAACCTCGTAAAAATATGCTATCATGGCAGGATTTAGCAGAAACGGGCGTTATGGAGCCTCTGATTTTATGAAGAAAAAGCTAAACTCACCGGAGTTGGTCATGAACTCGAAGGGTCCGCTGAATTCCCCGTAACCCGCCGCCGTGCGAGCGCGGACGTGAAACACGTAGGAGGTGAGGGGGGTGAGACCCTTGATGTCGGTGTTTCTGGACGATGTCTTTATGATTCTGTAGCTTCTCTCATTTTGATCCTGAGGACGACAGATGGCAAGAGAGTAAGAAACACAGAGGGAACAATCTGATGTGCTTTCCTCACAGTCTGTTGAAACATACTGGCTTATCTGTTTCCTGTTTTGTTTAGTTTTCTCATGTCATGCCTGTGGTTACTTCCTGTCTTGGAACAGTCTGTAATTTCCCGTCTTTTTTTATTCTGTGTCCGGGCATTATTAGTTTCACCCGTTCACGTTCAGCCCTACAACCACCTGACCTCTAGGACAGTGATTCTCAAATGGGGGTACGCGGACCCCTAGGGGTACGTTGGGGTACTGCAGGGGGTACGTGAGGTAAACAAAATAAAAAGGTTAATTAAAAAAATACCATGCATGATTATAAAAATAATCTTAGTACAATAAGTTAAATAGAAAACACAATTTTATATAAAATATTCCTAGAACCACTAATATAAACATGTTACATTTGTGTATTGTATTTATGGTTTTTAATAATATATCATTTTGTTCATTGGTTTGTTAAATATATATTAATTCAATTGAAAAAATCTTTGTTTTCAAGCATAAAGATGAAAATATCCTTAGTTTGTTGTAATGCATGCATTAAGGAGTTAATAAATCAATCACTGAGGGAACATCACTATATTGTAATTATTTATATAGGCTTTTTCTGTCAAAAATGTCCGGGGTCGGTCAGGGGGTACTTGGCTGAGAAAATGTTTCAAAGGGGGTACATTACTGAACAAAGTTTGAGAAGCACTGCTCGAGGACACCTGACTCCATCCCCTCATCAGTTCAGCATGTATTTAGGTCCTGTTTTTAGGGTTAGGAATAAAAGCTGTCTCCTTCTCCACCATCAAAGTAGTCAAATTAGACGCAATGAGAAAAACATTTCAAACGATAACAGGAAACATCTAGAATCATGACACATATGGCCATTTTGAGATTCTTCGCATCAGCAGAAACTCCATCTCCCATGAGACCCCTCACCTTCTCGTAGTATTTGACCTCGTACTCCAGGATGACCCCGTTGGCTCGATCCGGCGGCTGCCAGGCCAGGGAGATGGTGTGTCGTGTGATATCCTTCGCCTGGATGGAACTCACCGGAGAAGGAGCTACAAAGATGATCAGAGAAAGACAGAAAACACAAGTTTAGCCCTCTGCTTGTCCTCCATGTTGTTTCAGTGTGTTTCCGGTTGCTCTCCTGAATCCCCCCACTCTTAACTCCTGCTGAGAAACTCACACACTGAGTCGCAAACACATTCAGTTTGAACTTGGAGGCGTCCGGCCACACGGTGTATGGTAATACACTTGAGAAATAATGGTTAGCATCAATAACATTGATCCAATTTCCACTCGGCCGATGCGTGCCACTTTTCCTACAACCCCGGCAAAATAATGTCCAACTTCATCTTCTGCAGATTACACTGAGACAAACCTCGCATTGCGGCAAAGTCTGCCTCGGGAAAAGCTCAACATAAGTCTTAGTTTTTGTCTTTTTAAGAGAGCAAATCAATTGGTTTTCATTAAAACTCCAGCGAGCGATCTTATCTCGAGCCCTTTCTGCTGCAGCTGATAATGAGGCCATATTTCAAGGGGCCGTGCTATCTGTGTTCAGACGCCTTTAACATGTGAAGGTTAAAGCACAGATAATGGCGTCCCCTCCCTCCATTCGTGCACAAATCAAACCTCTATCTTCGGGGAGTGTGACAACACTAAAATTGGGTCATACACACTCTTGATGCTACAGAGAGAAACCCAGAGGCGCAGGAGAGACCGTGTAAACAGTGAGACACTCGTGAGCAGATTGAGTTTTGAGCAGAGGATTAATAGTAGAGCAGGTGGAGATATAGACCAAGGAACAAAAGGCTCAAGTATATCAAAAGTTAACAAGTCGTTCATCTATTTCTCCACAGAGCCAGAACAAAAACACATTTCCACGGACGCCCAGGTAGCGTGAAACCGCAGCGTCTGCTCGTCCTCGTTCAAAAGGAGCGTATCTTTGACCTCTGCTCCTCAGTGATACTGTAACCTTACTCGTTCCAGACCATCTGCCTTTTAAAAAATTACAGTGGGATGATTAATGAGGGGTTCGCGGTCCACCGATTATGATTGGATTATCTATGACATTTTATACATTCTCATCACTTTGACCAGGGGCTCCAGGGAGCATAGCCTTGGAGCTAACGCTAACAAAACCCTGCTTTTAGCCGGGGATTGAGTTCAAACAGGCCTGGAATTCAAGCACCATGCCTGATATTGAGTTTCAGCGGGGTAGAGGGGGGTTTGTGACTGGAGGCGGGGGGGGGGGGGGGGGGTAAATCGAGATGGAGATGGAGAGGGATGGGATTGCAGACATCTCTCGGTAAACAGATTAACCCAAGGTTGTGTAATCCTGTTGGTCTAATGTGTTGCATCTCCGTTAAACAATTAGATGGCAGCCATTTGTAACCCTTCGATCAATCTTACCCGGCAGCCAGAGCCAATTTGAAGGCCCTCCTGGGGCTTTGTGAGGACGCTCTGCCTCGGAAAGAAAACCCCCGAGGGGTCGCAGGCCTCCGTGCCCCAGCGGTAATCCACACATCCATCTTTCCTCCAAAGATGACAGATATGGCAATTTAATCGTGTTCGGCCCTCCTCTTGTTGCAATTTTATTTTTCCCTGGACTAATGTGAGGGTAAAGATGAGTGATTTTCTGAGTGGTCCCTTTTGAAATCCCCGACGTGGGACTGCAAGGTTAAAACAGCCAGAAGTCCATCAAGGCCAAGTTTTTCTTTGTAATATAAAGTAGTCAGAGACTTAAAAGGCAAACTAACACACAGGTTTTAAAGTCTGCCATGCTGATGCAAGACTAAACCTGATATGTCTTTATGAAAAGAGAACGGTTTAACCTGAGGCCGCGACTTGGGCAGAGCGAGCTAGACTAGCTGGCACCTCTGTGGATTAATTTAAATATGTGGGGCAGCTCGGACAATTTCCAACCGACTCCTAAACCAGCGGGCCAAAAACGCTGGTGGAATAATAGATGCAATGAATATTCAGATCTCATTAGAGAAATTGTGTGGAAACTCTCACACAGCCTGCACAACTTGTACACACACACACACACACACACACACACACACGGACCTCATAGAAAAACACACACCTGGCACCATTATCTCCCACAGACAGGGGAAAACTCAATCACCCCACCTATGCAGACATTATAATGAGTGAGGTTCAGTTCAGTGAGTGAGTAAAGTTGTCTTTGCGAGCGTGTATTTGTGTTGTGAGGAGCAGCTGCGGTTGGTTGCGTGAATATGTGGTCGATAACAGTTTGACATTAATAGAGGCAGGGGCCTGGATGCACATGTGGTTGCCAGATTGGACGCCTGGTTGCCAGATTGGACTCACTCGATTTTTTTTGGAGACGTTTTTTAGGGTGTCGAGAAAAACGTCTCCCACCTACGAGATCCTTCCCCTCCAGCTCTGTAAAGCCTGCTTCCATCTCCCCGAACACATTTCCACATGTACGTCTGTCCGATTTGCCAAAGAGATGGAAACTCACACACATGTGTTCTGACAGACGTGCCCACACACACACTCCCTGCCGCACTAATTCACTTTCAGTCACCTAAGCCTGCCAAGTATTTTGTATCGAGACATAAACACCTCTCGCTCAGCTATTTCCCTCTTTCTCACACATACACGCTCAAAGTGCTTGATCCCATAAAGGGGGGGAAAAACATCCATTTACAGCCGGGGGTCAGCTCAAAGCTGGACATCCCCCCCCCCCTCAACTCGCCTCCTTTTCCTTCTGCAGTCCGGCTGAAAGGGTCACACCCCGGCTGATTTACGACGGAGGGATTGTTCATGTCGAGACGCTGAATCTGACCTCTTTGAACACACAGAAACTCAAGCGCATACATTCAGCTTGAGTTAATTTGCACAAAAACTACTTTGCACAATTGTTATGTATGTATAATCCAATGCCAACATGTGTCTGAAGTATATTCATATATATTTATGTAGCTTATGTATTGTGGAGTATTCCATTTATTCGTTATATAGTGTATTATTTAGATAGTGATATATGTCCTTTCTATTGTGAATTTCTCATATTTGTATCTTATTGTATCTTTAAAATACTTTTAACTCGTGTTATGCTTGACAACACTGCTGCCATGACACAATCATTCCCTTAATTTGGGATGAATAAAATATATATCCATCTAATTGTTGTCATTTTTCTGCAATGCACCTTCATCCATTGTTTCCTCTCTCGCTAAAACACTTAAGCGCACCCTTCTTCTAACCTGCTTCTTTCTCTCTAGCTGAAATCTGAACTTGAATGGAAAGGTGTCTTATCCGCAGCACTTATAAATCCCAATGAAGCTATGATAATAAATGTGTAATCCTTGATGTCTGGATGAGGGGAGGCGATACAGAGAGAGGGGCAGCCGCAGATGACTGGCTGGATTACCAACGGCTGAAACCAGAGCTTCCAAAGCCCCTACCGAGCATTAGCAGCAAGAAATCCAATCAGTCTGGAGCTCTTCTTTTTAACATGCACACACACACACACACACACACACACAACACACACACACACACACACACACACACACACACACACACACACACACACACACACACACACACACACACACACACACACACCCACCCACACATAAATTAGAGAAGACACGCACACTCCGGGACACATAGAGGACATTGTTTGAGTGGCAAATGTAGATGATCCATCGCCATCCAAGAACGTAGAAACATTCTGCGCAACACATTTTCTCACTTTTAGCCAAGCAGTCAAAAAACACACACACACACACACACACACACACACACACACACACACACACACACACACACACACACACACACACACACACCACACACACACACACACACACACACACACACACACACACACACACACACACACACACACTGTAGGAGCAAACACAGTGGTGGTGGCTTAAAGCCCACCTCCGCTCCGCGCCGTCCGTTAGATGAGCCTGGTCAGATTAATAAGAAAAGGAGTTCAAAACACCGGCATAAAAGTTATAACAATAATCTGATTTTAATGGTAAAAAACACAATACGAAATACAGAGTGCCCTGTAACAGAGCACTCCGGGCTCCCCGCTCTATTGCCGTGCGATGCAGATATCGGGACCAGCCAGTCAGAAACAGGGGGCATTTTGCATGAATAAACAACAGTATATATAGACATATTTGGGGCGGAGATGTGTGTCGGCTCTTCCGTCCCATTTTACTCCTGTTGAATCAGAGAGTCCGTGGGGAGGAGTTGTGTCTGTTGCTCACTCCCCTAGGTGTTCTTACTGGTTGGATTCACTTCGGGTTGGGCCCAATACAGCGAATCAGAGTTCTGGGAAAAAGTATTTTTCTTCTGAACAGAGCGTGACAGCCTTGGAAGTAAACAAGGTCAGTCACTTTTTATCTTATACCTGGGTTCACTCCTTTACTTTCCCAAGGAATATTTCACACAAACTCTATTCCTTCCCAGACAATCAAACATTGAACACAGATATATTGGTGCTTGAGATTATATTGGCCCCAGAACAGTTGTGAAACATGCACCGGTGACGAGCCAAAGGCAACATCATCTATATCTTACAAGTTGAAGTCAGCAGATTAGCCTCAAGCAACCTCTAGGGGACATCAGAGGTGTTTTTGTCAGTGTGTGTGTGTGTGTGTGTGTGTGTGTGTGTGTGTGTGTGTGTGTGTGTGTGTGTGTGTGTGTGTGTGTGTGTGTGTGTGTGTGTGTGTGTGTGTGAGTGTGTGTGTGTGTGTGTGTGTGTGTGTGTGTGTGTGTGTTACTACTGTATGAATCCATGTGCAGTTTTGCGCCTGTGTGACCGACCTCGGACTCCAGGGCTCCATTGCAGCCCCCACACTCACTTCCTGGCAGCTCTCCCACAGGCAGCGCATCCATTCATCTCTCTCTCCCTGACCCCAGATGATAAATCAAGCCACTGTGTGTCCTTAGACTGCCAGGGCCAAGTCCTATTCAAGATATTCGCTTTTCCCAGGGATGGAAATTAGTGATAAAAAAAAACACACAAAAAGGCACTTAGCTTGCCACCCAAGAGCAGAGCAGTAAAGAAGACCAGGGTAATGATCGGTTATAAGTGGAGGAGAACAGGGAGGGATGAAGAGAAAGGGCCGGGGTCGTAAAATCCATTTGCACAACAACCGGTTACAAAATGGCTAAATGACAAAACAACGGGTGGCTTTGGACGCACCCCCAGGCAAGAGGGCTCTTCTCCAGCCCTAACGGAGAGGCTGTATTCATGTGTGTATTCTACTAGGATAATTACACACACACACACACACACACACACACACACACACACACACACACACACACACACACACACACACACACACACACACACACACACACACACACACACACACACACACACACACACACACACACACACATACCATGTATACATCACTTCAGGGGACATTACATTGACTTTCATGCATTTCCTGGAGACTTATCCTAACCTTAACCATAACCAACACATGCCTAACCCTAACCCTTACCCTAACCAAGTCTTCACCCTAAAATTAATGATTCCCCTCATGGGGACCTCCATTTTGTCCCCATAAGGGAGGCGAGTCCCCACACGTGACTATGTAAACAGATTTAGGTCCCCACAAGTATAGTAATGCTAGGCCACACACACACACACACACACACACAATCCAGCAGCATTTGTAATGAAGCCTCCACAGATCAATACAACTCATCTAGTTCATTAGCACGGGAGCTAAATATAGCACGTTGCCCCTATCTTCCGACTTCTCGTGCCTAATTATGCAACACTCAAAGTGAAATATTGCGGAAAATAATTTCCCACTGCAGAGGATCCATCATCCTCCCCGGTGATCATCAAGCCTTAACCCAAACTATTTACATCTTTAATGAACATGTTTAGACACGAAGATTGCACCCCCAAAAACAGTGCAACCACCCTGTGCTCTGCATCGAGTACAAGTACACACACTACAAAGTGTCTCTGCCAGCACACCCAGGTTCCATTGCCTGCTCACACAATAGTCAAGAATCTACATTGAATAGGAAACCAATGGTTTTGCATATATTGTAAAACCTTTCTTCTTCTTCTGCCAGGTCAGCATTGTAAATGAGATTTTGTCTCAATGTTTTCATCTGGTTAAATAAAGGTTAAATACAAAAACATTCAAATTAAAATAAATGTTAAAACATATGTTGACTTAATAAACTTTGACAAGCCGAGTCTTTCAAGAAATTAGAAAGGCACAGTTGATGGAAATGTTATCGGATTTGCGAAATGTAATTTTAAATCCCAGGAAGAACGATATTTGTTTAACGTGTTAAAATCTTATTTGAAAGGAAGTCTTATGGAGCAGCAGACACATCCTAGTGTTCAGTGATAACAAAACATATGTTTGGTATAGAGCTTCTTAATAAATCACACCATGATCACTTAATAAATTGTTCAATGATAATGATGCATGATTAATCTCTCCTATATCATATTCGCAATATTAGTTGAAATAATCGCAATTAGCTACTTTTTCCAAATCATGAAGCCCTGCAAGAAATATAAGAATCAGAATCAGAATAGTTCGGCACTAACCCTAACCCTAATGGTTCCAGTCTTCTACCATTTCCTTTCCACTAACCCACTAAATCAGAACCATCATTGGTGTTCCTTACCAGCCTGGTTGGTGGTCACGGTGACGGACACGGCCTGCTCGGGGCCCGGACTCTGAGGCGAGACCCCGTTGACGGCCCACACCTCGAAGGTGTAGTTGGTGTGGGCCTGCAGCTCGTTGATGGACACCTTGTTGCCCTTCAGGCTCAGCTGCTGGGGGCTGAAGTGGACGCCGTTCCCGCACGCCTGACAGCGGCGGCCATCGGGTCCGCAGCGCTTACACACCACGTTGTACGTCAAGTCCTGGCGGCCCCCTGTGGTGCGGGGGGGGCTCCACTCCAGGTTCACTGAGGTCTCGTTCACATTGGAGATGAGGTGGGCGGGTGCCGACGGAGGGCCTGTGGAGGAAGATAAGAAGTACTTTATCAATCCCACTTTGGGCAATGTTTGCGTTGCATAGCAATATTGTTTTTTTCTGTAGTTTATTTCTATATATTTCTGTAGCTTAGTGAGAGTATATTGTAGACGTATTCAATTTGTTCCATATTTTCATATATGATATACACTGCTGCTCTGACAAAATAACGTCCTAATTTGGGATGAATAAAATATCTATCTATCACATTTTTGTAATTGTCCTCCATCCATTGTTTCCTCTCACACAAAAATACTTAAGCGCACCCTTTTCTTTCTCTCTGAAATCAGCATGAAAAGATTATCCAAGAGAAGTAGAAAGAGAGAGGAGAGAGTTGATGTTATTACCAGTAGTGGTTAGAGGCCAGAGCAGGTACTCGGTTACACTCATATGTATTATGGTAGCAGAAAGAGACAGACGTTACTTATTTGATTACGTGAACCTGTGGGCTTTCCTCCACTTATTACATTTTTGGTCGACAAAAATAAGTTTGAGTTGATTTAATCACTAGAGTTGTAAAACTGTTGGTAGCGTCTAGTTGCCTTGAAAAGTTATTTCTCCAGGCAAGAATTTAGTGTGAACGTTTCTGTTTTCTTCTTGTGTTTCAATAATTAAACAACCCCCCTTGCCGTGGTTAAAAAAAAAAAATGAAATGTACAAAACAACAACAAAATAATTGTATGTATAATGACTAGCTCCAACACTGTGTTTTCTACTAAATGACATGCAAAAACTCCAATAGAAATCTTGTGTTTACATAGATTTGGAAATAAGTAATTTAGCATGAAAAATGACCAATCGAGCACATTCATTTTGGTTGACAATTAAAAGGGGACAGCCATGTATGAAACAATGACCTTGTGGTAAATCCTGCAAATACTTTTCTTATAATGGATGTGTACTTCTTTGATTGTACTATCTTGTCCTTGCTGTGGGATCGTGAAAGTCTCCAATGGGTAACTGATTCGTATATACACATAAGAAACATTTAAATGTATAATTGACTGGGTTTCCCCTTTATTGAGAGCTGAGGCTTCTTGAATTCCCTTTTAATGTCCTGTCCATTACTGTGAGGGAAGATCCAATTTCACCTCAGTTAATTCAGCACGTTAACTGAAATCCAATAGGCCGGCAGCTTTCTTTTCCCACTCGTATGTCGGATCAGCTGGAAGTGGCCGGGCGCCCGAGCCCGCGGCTAACAGCGGGGCTTTATGGCACCCACTCAATAACTTTACACAAAGTTTGCTTTGGACCCTGTTATTAAATAAGTGCTTTGATGCACTTTGTAGCTTTATGTCGGAGCAGCTCCACAGCCAGCGACACAAACTCATCAGTATCAATTTACATGTCAGCTCTATTGTAATTAATGTGTTTTTTTCTTGCGTTGCTTTCAAACATAAGCGACGGTAATTGACTTAACCATCTCTTTTCTATCCCTCTGTTGTCCCTGTCTCGCTCTCTCTCTCTCTCTCTCTCTGACTAATGAAGCGCACGCGAGCGGGCTGCAGGGATCGATGCAGGGTGAAATATGAAAGCTAGTCAGTCCACAGACGAATAATTTCGCAACGGAAATTAATTATCAGTGTTATTTTTGGAGGAGCCGCGTGGCAATGAGTGATTTCACAGAGACGCAGAGGGCAGTGTGTGGGAGTGTGTTCGCCCGAGGAGGAATACGTACGCTTTTGTTGCTGCATTTAATGGAGACGTGGAAGTACAGTTTTACCCTTGATACATGCAAAAAAACGGTTTGTTTATGGACTGGACTCGCATAGGCTACTCTCAGTGTGGCTGATAGTGGTGAATGTGAAGGGGAGGCCTTGAAAGGAGATTGAGAAGGACAGAAGGAGAAGACAAACACCGTCTGTTCATCCAGGAAAAAAGAAAGCCACTGATTAGTATGGAGGGAGCAGGTCTGGATAAATGGATGGAGGGGGGGGGACAGAAATGGATGGTGGAAAGTAGGGAGGAGGGTCTGTTTAACTGAAAATAACCTCGATGCTCACTAACAGCATGAAGATGAGACGACGCAGAATGTGCTGTGTTAATATGAGCATCACTTAACTCCCCTTTTCACCAACCTATTAATACATTCTCATTAAAAATGATGATGAAGCTCTGTCTCACTCCCCTTTTTATCTGCACAACCACTTTCCCTCTCTCACTCTCTCACCTCATCCTCCCCGTTTGCCTCGGAGACAATGGGAACAAGTTACAGATGAGCTTTCTAAATTAAGGTACCCTTTGTCAGTGTGCTAGGTTCAGCTAACCTCTTCTCCCTTTCAACACTCAGTAATGCCCTGCCTGAGATTCAAAGTAAAGCTATCAGCTGCTATCTGGAGTAAAGGCGTCATAAACTTAACAGGACAAAGGTAATAATAATTCCAGTTGATCTGAGCGTGCTTGTCTTCTGTGCTTGTCCTCAAAGGCATAAACACAAAAGTGCTTCCAGTTGAAGAGAGTCTCACAGTCTCACTTCTGGACAGCGTTAACTGTGCAGCTGTGGTCAGGAGATAGTTAGCTTAGCATAGCCTTAAGACAGAGATAAATAAAAAATCATACTATAGAAACAATAGTTTAGAAGATTTAGTAAGACATTTTGTTTTTGTACAGAGCCAGGCTAAGTGTTTCCACTTCTTCTAGCCATCTTGCTAAACCTCCCCTGGTTAGCTTAGGTAAGCATAGCCTAATAACTTGAAGCATGCAGGCAGAGAAAAACATACTTTAGTTTAGATACACACACACATTTTAGAAGGCTAAGTAACTAGTTTGTTTTAAATGTGTCCTTTGTACAGAGCCAGGAAAACTAGTTTCCCTTCTTCTAGCCATCTTGCTAAGCTAAGCTAACCCTGGCCCGAGTTTCACAGTAATATACAGACACAAAAGTGGTATTGATCTTCTTATCTTACTCTCGGGGAAGAAAGGAAATGAGTGTAATCTAAAGATAAAAGTCCTTTCATGTCATAGCGTTGTCCATAAATAATTGTATCAGCAAGTGTAATCACCTTATTATCAATATTGTGTTTGTCCGTTGCCATGACAAGCAACAGCGCTACGTAACTTTATGACTGCAGTATAAAGTCTTCAACACATTCCACTGCATGTCAGACTTCCCCCTGCATTCCACACACACACACACACACACACACACACACACACACACACACACACACACACACACACACACACACACACACACACACACACACACACACACACACACACAAAGTACCTGTCGCTCTCCCAGAATGCACCAGTGGGAGCATGGGAGCGTGGGAGAGCCGTCAGCTGTGACTGACACGCGGTAATTAATCCTGGGAGAGAGAGAGAGCGACGGGGAGAGTAACGTTCACATAACCTTCGTACAACGTCAGCTCAACATGGCCTTAAAATGTGCACTCCTTACGGGTGGATTCCAGGGGGAAACTAAGAAAGTTTTTCCTCAAGCAAGTTTTTATTTTATCCCTCGTCTCCTTTTCTGTAATTTGCTCCGAGCCTTACTCTTTCTTTCCTGTCACTTCCTTCTTTAATCTCAGTTTTTTTTCTCCTCCTCCTCTTCTCCCCCCGTTCTCTTTCTTCCATCCCTCTCTCTCTCTCTGTCTCTTTCTATCAGTGATTGTTAGGCGAGTGTTGCGCAGGGCTCGCGTAAAAGAGCAGGCTAAATTGGCCAGAACATCGACCCCGCTATTACCATCCGGCTGGAATGAATTCAATGCCCCCCTCGAGTCCGCGTTCATTCCTCACCCCCCATCCCTCCTTCTTCCTCCACCGACAAACCGCCGCTAAGAAAACTGGGCAAAATCTGAGAAACACATCAAGGGCCAAAAGAAACCCCAAAATGGAGAACACCCCCTCGTTTGAACCTGAACGCAGCTCACCAGTGTCTGTTCCTGAACCTCATTACCGCCCTGTGGTGCAAGCCTGTGTATTTATTTATATCATGTATATTGCTTTTTCCTGCCCTGAACTTATTTTAATATTGTATATTTTAACTGAATGCTTTGAATCGACTTAGCTGCATATTGTTAGAGGATATTATCTACCTGTTGCCTATGTTAAAACTAATTGGATCTAAGGACCATTGAATATATATTTTTCTATGTATTTTTTAAACACAGCTATAAAAGGGCTTGGAGACAACAACAAAAGTAAGTGAGAAAAGAGCAGTGGTAGCAAGCCGGGGAATGTAAAGGACAAGCAACTTAAAATAAACCCTGAAAAAGTTGCCCAATAGGACTGTTAAGGCGCGGACAAATCTGTTTCTTAAACCCCATAAAACAAATGTATCCCTCCAGGATCCTCGGGCATATTGATCCAAAGTGTGGGAGTGTGTGTTGCTTGTAATCTGAAAAGCGAGTTTTTCGATTAAATGTAGCGCACGTTAATCGCCGAACACAAGAACAAGGTGCAAAACAGCCTCTGACAGACCGACGACAGAAAGAGACACACAATGACAGAATTACACAACATCCAGTTTTAATCATCATCTTGCGTCGCTATAGCTTCTGAGCTAAGAGAGGGGGAGAGCGGTTTCAATTACCCACACACACACACACACACACACACACACACACACACACACACACACACACACACACACACACACACAACACACACACACACACACACACACACACACACACACAATTACCAGAGATGCTGGCTCTTTCCCAGCCTGACCTTCAGCGAGCAAACTGGGAAATTACTTTTTTTTTTTCTTCATCTGCTCTGTTCGTGACTCGTGAGTGGGTTTTGAGAGAAGGAAAGAGAGAGAGTGAAAACAAGATGAGGAGAGATGTGTGAGTGACAGCTGTAATTACACAGCTCTAACATGTGGGTGAGAAGTAAAAAAAAAAAATGAAATGTGCGAGGAAGGAAAACATTGACAGACGGGGTGAGAGTTTAAAGGTCAAACGTTGCAAAGGTCGGAGAAGGAGTCCAGCTAATGTTCAGTTCCTAACCGTGGAGTTTGAAACGGCATCGCACCGCCGTGTACAATAAGCGCAGTAATGAGCTTTGACAGCTGTTGCTCGCAGCAGCCGAGCTCAAATGCCACACGGGCTAACAGGACAATAGAGATGAGCTGCGGGATCAGGCAATAAAATAAGGGCAAGTAACTCAATATATTAGTGATGTGGCAAAACAGTAATGGAGTAGGGCGTGTGGAATAAGGCCTGTGCTTTTATTTAATCAAAGAAAGTTCATTTAAACAATCTCAGAGAGATTAAGATGGACTTTTATTAATCCCTCGTGGGGAAATTGTTTCTCTGCATTTGACCCATCCTAGTGTTAGGAGCAGTGTGCTGCCATTTTGAACGGCGCCCGGGGAGCAGTGTGGGGAACGGTGCCTTGCTCAGGGACACCTCGGTAGCACTTGGTCTTCCAGTTGCCAAGCCAAGTCCCTATTGACTTTGCCACCACCGCCGAGAGGTACTTCTGGTTAAATGAATAACAGCTTAACACTAAATAAAAGCAAAAACAATTCAAATTTGAATTAGGTTTTATATCTGTATAAGTACGAAATGCTTTTGAATATGTTCGGAGATAAATAATAATCATTTTTTTTAACTAATCCGTGACGTACTTATGATCCCTATTTAGTGGTTACTTTGACCAAACAACAGTTCATGCAAGACAAAGAAAATCAGCCAATTCTGTAATTTCATATTTGGTATCCTTGCTAGAAAGATATTTGAAATGATGAGTTAGTTTCAAAAAGAAAATCAGACTAATCTATTCCTCAACTGATCCTTGCAGCTCAACAAGTCCAGTGAGTTCAACATGGTCTGTTTATCATCCCAGTAAACACTTTGGGTGTTTAGAGAGACTTGGAAAAGCTTTGCAAAAATAGCAATCAGCTCCAGATATGTATAGCCAGAATGCATTAATCAAAGATGTTCAGATTACCATCTTGATCCAGTACAACTCGTGTTCTTAATCGTAACATATCCCACATTGTGTATGATGTTGCCGCGCAGCAGGGGAATCATTAGAGGCCGGTTTAGTTTCTGCTCCGACAGCTTGGTGTTGTGCGGGAGGAGCTCGGCTGCTCGTCGGATTCAATAAACCGTTCCGCTGACTGATGGATCCACAGGAACTCGACAGCCAAAACGCGGGCCAACTATGAGCTAAGCAACTTAGCAGATGTTTGGTTGTTACAACTGACTTGTGACACATACTCACTCAAAAGTCTGTCATGTGTACGAATAGTGTTTTTATCCAGGGAAATAAGAGTGCAGGGCTTTTTGTGTTACGTGGGTTTATACTTCTGTATGAACTCCCGGTATGTGTGACTCAGGGATGGAAAAAGGAAAGAGGTATCATTAGGAGTGTTCTTATTATTTGTCGGGGGAGGATTCACCGGTGCGTGACTCACAAGTAGAAGAAATAAAAGCTCTTCCTTGGGCTTAAAGCCTTCCTGTATTCAGTCACCTTGGTTTCTTTCTCTATCACAACATCCCTGCATCCAATTTCAGCTTTCCACCAAACTCGTTTTTCTACCTTTTTCGCCATCTCGTCACATCACCGCTAACATCTTATCTCTATTTGTCTTTCTGCCCTGTTTGTTTTGCAGCCTCTCTGTGGAAGACTGGATCTGGGATACAGCGGTGATTTACACCCCCATTAGTTACCCGTCACCGTGACTGATCACTAAGTACCACCTGGAATCAAAAGACACCTATTAAACCAGCAGCCGCCCGCTTTGTGTTCGGCAGAAAGGCTGTCTCTCCGTGAGCGCTCAGGTAATTCAGGTTGACATTGCAAAAGAAACAGATAGCGAGAGAGAGGAATAAAAACCATGGCTGGGTTGAGGCAGAAGCCATAACTCTGTGTGTGTTCTTTTCTATATATAATATATATATATATATATATATATATATAATACGGTAATCCTGCACTTTAAACTGTGTACATAGATGGCAAAAGTACACACATCCTTTACTCAAGTAGAAGTACAGATACTCGTGTTTAAAAATACTCTGGTAAAAGTAAAAGTACTGACTAAACTTCTTTACTCAAGTCAAAGTAAAGGCTTTGAAATGTACTTCAGTAAAAAGTACCCATAACTAGCAGCTGCTTTAAAGAGTACCTGACCTCCCTTTATATTAATAGAACAATAATGTCATTGTTAGCTAATGAATGTTTCCATGCTGAACAACGGCAACATGACAACGTTTCCATTGGTCCCTCTTCTTTAGAGAAGACCAGGAAATGATGGATACACGGATCGTGTTCAAATCAATAGGCACGCAATGACTCTAAAGAATAATGATCACGCATCAAACACACATTCAGACTATTTGTGTTCAACATGTAAGAAGTAGAAAGTACAGGTATTTGAGTTCAACATGTGAGAAGTAGAAAGTACAGGTATTTGTGTTCAACATGTAAGAAGTAGAAAGTACAGGGATTTGTGTTCAACATGTAAGAAGTAGAAAGTTCAGGTATTTGTGTTCAACATGTAAGAAGTAGAAAGTACAGGTATTTGTGTTCAACATGTAAGAAGTAGAAAGTACAGGTATTTGAGTTCAACATGTGAGAAGTAGAAAGTACAGGTATTTGTGTTCAACATGTAAGAAGTAGAAAGTACAGGGATTTGTGTTCAACATGTAAGAAGTAGAAAGTACAGGTATTTGAGTTCAACATGTAAGAAGTAGAAAGTACAGGTATTTGTGTTCAACATGTAAGAAGTAGAAAGTACAGGTATTTGAGTTCAACATGTAAGAAGTAGAAAGTACAGGTATTTGTGTTCAACATGTAAGAAGTAGAAAGTACAGGTATTTGAGTTCAACATGTAAGAAGTAGAAAGTTCAGGTATTTGTGTTCAACATGTTAGAAGTAGAAAGTACAGGTATTTGAGTTCAACATGTAAGAAGTAGAAAGTACAGGTATTTGTGTTCAACATGTGATAAGTAGAAAGTACAGGTATTTGTGTTTAACATGTAAGAAGTAGAAAGTACAGGTATTTGTGTTCAACATGTAAAAAGTAGAAAGTTCAGGTATTTGTGTTCAACATGTTAGAAGTAGAAAGTACAGGTATTTGAGTTCAACATGTAAGAAGTAGAAAGTACAGGTATTTGTGTTCAACATGTAAGAAGTAGAAAGTTCAGGTATTTGTGTTCAACATGTTAGAAGTAGAAAGTACAGGTATTTGAGTTCAACATGTAAGAAGTAGAAAGTACAGGGATTTGTGTTCAACATGTAAGAAGTAGAAAGTTCAGGTATTTGTGTTCAACATGTTAGAAGTAGAAAGTACAGGTATTTGTGTTCAACATGTTAGAAGTAGAAAGTACAGGTATTTGAGTTCAACATGTAAGAAGTAGAAAGTTCAGGTATTTGTGTTCAACATGTTAGAAGTAGAAAGTACAGGTATTTGAGTTCAACATGTAAGAAGTAGAAAGTACAGGTATTTGTGTTCAACATGTGAGAAGTAGAAAGTACAGGTATTTGTGTTTAACATGTAAGAAGTAGAAAGTACAGGTATTTGTGTTCAACATGTAAGAAGTAGAAAGTTCAGGTATTTGTGTTCAACATGTTAGAAGTAGAAAGTACAGGTATTTGAGTTCAACATGTAAGAAGTAGAAAGTACAGGTATTTGTGTTCAACATGTGAGAAGTAGAAAGTACAGGTATTTGTGTTTAACATGTAAGAAGTAGAAAGTACAGGTATTTGAGTTCAACATGTAAGAAGTAGAAAGTACAGGTATTTGAGTTCAACATGTAAGAAGTAGAAAGTACAGGTATTTGAGTTCAACATGTAAGAAGTAGAAAGTACAGGCATTTGGGTTCAACATGTAAGAAGTAGAAAGTGCAGGTATTTGAGTTCAACATGTAAGAAGTAGAAAGTACAGGTATTTGTGTTCAACATGTAAGAAGTATAAAGTACAGGTATTTGTGTTCAACATGTAAGAAGTAGAAAGTACAGGTATTTGAGTTCAACATGTAAAGAAGTAGAAAGTACAGGTATTTGAGTTCAACATGTAAGAAGTAGAAAGTACAGGTATTTGAGTTCAAAATGTAAGAAGTAGAAAGTACAGGTATTTGAGTTCAACATGTAAGAAGTAGAAAGTACAGGTATTTGAGTTCAACATGTAAGAAGTAGAAAGTACAGGTGTTTGTGTTCAACATGTAACAAGTAGAAAGTCTAAAAGATAGGAGTAAAGTACTGATACCAGAAACATGTACTTAAGTATATAACGAAGTATTTGTACTCCACTACTTCCCACCTCTGACAGTATGTTAGATGCTGGTGTACTTACGGGTGCAGGGCATGGACGCCGGGTCTGTTTCAGAGCGGAAGTATCCCTTGTCGCAGACGCAGGAGGTGGATCCCTCTCTGGTGGAGTAGCTGTTGAGCGGACACTTGGAACAGGAGCCGTCGGTGGCCAAGGCGCGGTAGTAACCGATCTTGCAGGCTGAAACATAACAAGGACACAGAGGAGGGTAAGTTTGGTTTGAAGAGGCCTACATTAAGTACAGCTTTCATATTAGAGAGGAACGGTGTAGAGATGGCTAAGATGCTGGAGGAAAAGTTACAGGATCATCAAATCCATTACGATGCATCTTCAAGAAACCAAGAACGTCTGTACAAAACTGCATGGCAACACATTGGATAGAAAAGTGGATATCTATGGAAGTCAATTTGTAAACTACGTGCATAAAATGTATTGCACATGAAGTGACTGTCTAATAGATAATAAGGCGATGTTGCCATAGCATTGCACATCCAAATAATTGTTTAGCAATGGAAGACAAGAAGAGACGACTGTGATCTTGCCAATTTCCCCCAATTAGCAACCAGAAAACTATTTGTTGCCCAGAGGCTTCTAACTTCTTTGTCTTCATTTTCCATCTTCAGCGCTTTCTACTTTCTCACGAACCTGAAATCTATTATCAAAAACAACTGAACAGGAGAACAAGGCTCCATTTCCTCAGACAAAAAAGGGAGAAGATCAAATATCTACCTCTTGTCTTTCTCACAAATATAAGCTATGCACAATTGGCATGACTTGAAGCAGCGATTAAACAAGAGCCATTTCAGACCATTTAACAAACAAATGCCGCCACACTTGGCACACCGAGAGCCTGTCACTCTCACACATGCACCGAAACACACACTTAACTCTGAAATGGTAACCTAAGTGACACTTTTCCTACTATTGGCGACAGTGCTCGCCTTTCCTTTGAGTGACAGTTTGATTGGAGGGCTCATGTTTCGAGGAGTTTCTCCCCCGTCTATCGGTTTCTATAATGGCCAGGGAAGCCTAGCGGGGTTTATGTTTCACCCTGTGAGCACTGAACCAGAAGACGAGGACAAAAGAGCAATTCTCCGAGAGGTGCGGCGCAGACAGTTCCAACACCGATTGGACCGAATAACCTGTCAGTCAATGAGGCTGCTATTAATCGGCGAATGGCATTGGGGCTGGAGGGTCTCTGTGGTTTCTAGTAGAGTGGGTGTGCAAAATGTGTGTGTTGTTATACAGTAAAGACCCTTTGGAGACAGATGGGTAAATCCATACCCAATATAAATCAGATAATTACACACTTATAGTCTGCAGGGGTAAAGCGACACCCAATGCCTGCACACACACAAAGGCTTGATGTTGACACACACACAAACCCAGATGTATTTGAAAAGGCATGGGTACAATGCCACAGTCATAATACTTCAGGGCATCCTGCGCACAAAAGAACAGTCACATAATAAACACAGTCCCATATGTGTTCACCACACTAGAAATCAATTCTTTTCCACACACACCACCGCAGTGAAGAGGAAGTCCGTACTTCAACAAAAACACACATTCCACTAACCACCCGACACGCTGATACATTCAAATAAATCCACAAACCCCTAAAATACTGGGAAATCCCTCAATTGGAGGCGCATTAGAGTCAGGCTCTTTGCCCCCAGCCGCTCTTCTCCAGCAGCTGGATTAGGACAGCGCTTAACCGAGCCGGACTAGCTACTACCTGCTGAGCCTTTCTTTGCCCGTTCCCACTCAGTCAATCAGGGCTAAATCCCTGCCGCTTCACTCGCTAACGCTAAGCTAAGGGTCTCTTTGATTGTAGCCTGCAGGGGTGCGTGAAGCCTCCGTTTCTATTCTTCACGGTTGCTAAGAAAAGCGGTAGAGATTAGTCTGGAGGTGCTTTGTGTTATCTCTCTATGTTAAAAGCAATCATTCGACGCCCAATCTCATCACCAAAGACAGAGGGACACTGGGATTTGTGGGTATTGTTTAAGAGGTTGTGACCGCTTCGGGGGACAAAACACAAACAAGTTGCCGTTAGTGTTTGTACATGTGCGCTGAGCAGGATAAGTGTCCGGAGTTGAGAGTGGGGTCAACCAGCTGTTTGGGATAGTGGCCCCTTTGCTAACACAAGCTGTAGGGAGTTAATTGAGTCCCATGCTTCACAGCCTTTGGGCCTGAGCCTCTTAAAAGGGACAGTCTAAGAGCAGGCTACCTCAAACTGTGCACGGTTGATGAGTTTTTCGCTCGTCAATTATTAAGCTGTCCCAGGCTGACCCCGGAGTCCCTTCAAGCCGTCCCACGACTCCAAATCCCTGTTAGCCATACACAGCGTCTTCATCTGCGGTTTGCATTTCAGGAAATTGTGTTTGAAAATGCGATGTCAACATATGAGGGCTTGTTCACAGCAGCCACTGCCCCCCAGAAAGCAGCGGCGGAGGGCAAAAGAGAAGTCGATATCCAAGTTGGGGAATTTGCTTCCTATTAGGAGTGTGAGTGTGTGTTGGTGAGGGAAGAGACCGCACTAGTGGGTGGTCCAAAAGACCGTGGCTTCAGAGGGGAATCTCCCTTAAGACTTGTTGGATTTATCACTGTCCGGACCAGTGGTTTCAAACCCGCACACAGACACACGTTTTTATGGGCTATGAGCTGAGAAGCCCTCTTCATATCCTCTCTAAGAACCCATTTTTTCCACTCTCCTTTTTCTGCCCGGTCGCTCTCTAACTCTCTCGTGTGTTTTTTTCTTGTCTATCTCTCTCTCCCACTCTCATAGGCTTTCTCTCAACAGGCCTCCTTTCAGACAGAGAGGGGTTTGTCAGGTGCCAGATCCCTCGCTGAGAGATCAAAGGCAGACAAAGAGACTGGTGACTTACTGTTCTATTCTGGAAAGGCAAAACGAAAAAATGGAATCCCTCATAGACCCGGACATTGCATTCTTCCCCCTTTTCTCCCCCGGTAGCTCTTTCACTCATCCAATCCTCATCTCTGGCTTTAGTCTTTTTTCCCCTTTTGTCAGCCTTCCCCCCCCCACACCTCTTCCCCATCCCTGTTGTCTCTAAGCTGGAGCATGTTTGGAGGGAGAGGTCTGTGGGAGTTAATGAGTAGTTGTGTCCGTGTGGCGGGGATGCTGCTGGCTGAATTGGCGCCGCGTGAAGGGAGGGGAAAAATAGTCGACGAAGCCATGTGCAAAAAAATAGGAGTGCACAAAAGCTAATGATACGATGATAGCTACCCACACGCGCGAGCCAACTTAAGCCAAGCTACATTTTCCTCTGAGTGGCAACAACCTACACAGCAGCAGGCTTTGAACAGTCACGGCCCCACGCTACCGCCAAATGAAAAACCTACACTCCCACCCACTGTAGCCCACCTTGAGTGACCTGCATGCAAAGCCTGATAGGCAAGCTATTCTGCAGCTACACAGCAAAGTATCCAATCCACAGGGGACTGAAAGCATGAGAGCTAACTTGGGCTACAATAGCCTTCCAAAAAACCCCAGGAATATAACACCCAGCGTACGGCTCACAATAACGCGGCCTGCCCAGGCAGAACAATTGCCTCTTTTATATAATCAAAAAGAGAGAATTAAGTTCAAGCTTCACGATTCTGCCTCCTTTCAAGCCGGCGCTTTATCTTCTTTGGGTGATGAAAACTCGGTCACTCTTTTTGTAGTCACAACAGACAGTGAGCGCTCTTCAGAAGAGAAGTCAGAGGCGTCCTCACAAAGACACTCTTTGAAAAAAACCAAGCGATCATCTGTCGGGACCTGAGGGCAAGGAGAGTCTCAGCCTCTCCACTACGATCTCTATTAAACCTCCCTTTCTGACATATCCCTCTGCCTTTGTGTCTCTCCTATCTCTCTTTCTCCCTGTGGATGGCAGAGTGTTCAGGTGAGACTCCTGTTGCAAAGGATTACTATTCCAAGAGTGCTTTGCTTACCCCCCGGTTGCAGTCACTCAAAGTTGTTTTTTAAAGAACATTCAAAGTCTTGGATGTATATACTTTCCAAATAAGGCCCGCGGACCATTTTGAATCGGCCCTCAGCTAATTCAAAATGGAATATGACCCACAAATTAAACGTGTCTTATATTGTACTTCTTAAATATACATGTAAACATATATTACACAGTAGTATTCATGTGTTAATAAAACCACTTTTCAAATAAATCCAGTCAATTAAAGTTGGAAACATTTTCTAACATATCTAGTTGATAAGAAAAAAGCCCAATGACTTATTTACGTATCAAGCTTGAAAAATACTTAATATTTCCCCTTATTATAATCAATCTGAGGGATGAGCTGCCAACACTCACGAGCATCATGTACCTACATTTGATTGATTTTGCTAACTTAATACTGAACTTATGAGGCGATATACATGTAGCGAGTGGCCCAGCCCTTCGTATATATTTTTCTGTACGTGGCCCTCGGTGAAAAAAGCGTGGACACCCTTGGTCTATGTCAACCCAGACAGGCATACAGAGAATAAAAGACCATCCACCATCAATACACCTGGCGTATTAGCATTGATAACTAGCCGCTGACCATTAGCATCTGTCTGTGGAACAGCAGGAGAGCGGAGCAGGTTAACTCATTAACGCCGTCACTCGAGTTATTAATTACCTCGGGCGGCGTTACCCATCAGGCTGATGGATGAGGGACACACGGAAAGCGAAACTGATCGCCATGATTGATGACATACACTCCTCACACATTTTGACCTTGACCTAGGGGGAAAAGGTCCCATACTAGTGGTGCCGACCTTTAATATGCAAAACGAGAGAAAGTAGCGTAGTGGCATCTGGGTTGACATGCTCACAAGTGTTAATGAAGGCCAAGAACAAAAGCCAGCGAGGCTAACGATGATAATAACACACAAGCCAACCTTCCTGACAATCACAGCAGATTTGCTAATGGTGGCCAGTGCCAACGGGGGGGTATGAGATGCCAGCAGCTTGTCTGTCAGATGCAGGATGATTTATAAGTGTATTTTCAGCAGCACCGATCCATCAAACGAGAGCCACCCACGACACTGGCCTAATTAAAATGTCTCTACCTGACACAGAGGAGCACCAGCCAGAGAAACAGATGAGAAAACACGTCGTAAAAATGACTACGAAAGAAGACGTTGTTATATTCAGTAACGTTTCAAACTACTCTGAGCGACAAACGGTTCCTTTAATGCAATTTGTATCCAAAAGTAACACCTTAAAGGTGGGGTAGGTAAGTTTGAGAAACCGGCTCGAGATCGCGAGAATTTGAAAATACACAACCGGAGAAAATCTGCCACTTCCTTACAGAGCCCCTCCTCCAACACACACAACGCGCACATGACCAATGAGGGCACGAGATAAGTTTGTGCACAGATGGAAGGCTGACAGGCAGGTAGGCCATCCAGTTACTTTAGCCGGGCCGGCTCAAATGATTGGTCGTGCTTTTTACAGCGCTACGGCTTCCACAGATGACATTTATTTATGGATTTATTGTCAAAGCACTTAATATATTCATTGCCATCGGGATGTTAAGAGCATTCCATGGAATATAACAAAAAGTGTATCTCGAGCCGGCTTCTCAAATGTACCAACCCCACCTTTAAAATGTGCAAATGTACAACGTTTTGTGTTTTCATTTATGATTTACTGGGTATATTTTTCACAGATTTTGAAGTGACTGTTATTGTGTATATTGATTGTTGTGCTTTTATGTATGTCTTAATGTGTGCATATGTAAAAATGTGTCTGTTGATTGTGTATATATAGAATAGGTACATATTTTTATATATATTTGTATTCGGGATTGTGGGAAACGGTATTTCGATCTCTCTGTCTGTACACACAAACTGAAAGATTGACAATAAGTTGACTTTGATAAACCCTTTCTAACAATGTTTGCGGTGAGTTCACAAGCCTAACAAATAACTTCATGCTCCGATCTATTTTGTTAAAAGTACACGTTGATGCCA